ACCTGAGTTCAAATCCAACCTCAGACACATCTTAACTGGGTGATCCTGGGCTAATCATTTAACCTCTCTTCTTCAGTTTCCTCAACTGTGAAATGAGGATGATAAAAGCACCTAGATATTTATGAGGTATTTAGCACAATGCCTGCCACATAGTAGGTACTTAATCAATGCTTATTCCCCTTCCATAGCTAGATCACAGGATCACAGAATTAGAAGTGAAAGAGACCTTACAGTCTTCTTCACCCCAACTTTTACAGGTTAGGAAACTGAAATCCAGGGGGCAGCTAGGGTGTGTAGTAGATAGAGCACTGGCCCTGGAGTCGGGAGGACCTGAGTTCAAATCCAGCCTCAGACACATAACACTCAATAGTTGTGTGACTCTGGGCAAGTTACTTAATCCCAATTGTCCCACCAAAAAACCCCCCCAAAACCACTGAAATATAGTGTGGTTAAATGTTTTTTTCCAGTCAAACACAGAGACTAAGTGGCAGAACCGGGATCTGAACCCAGGTCTTTTGATTCTATAGGGTCCCGATCAGTGAAAGCCATAATACATTGTAAAAAGTGAAAGCTATAAACTTAAACTCTGTGAAAGGTGGAAGCCTGGACATATTGACCTGTTAAAAATCATAATTCAGACATTGGGTCATAACTTAGATACTGTGACAAGTACATGACTGGTACATGACCAGTACCTAACCTTGAGTGTCTGGGCACTTATCCAACAGTGCTGGGTATATATTGGATGTATGGGAACCAGGTTCAATATTAAGTATAAACTAAACGTTAGCCAAAATAGCAACCAAGCAGAAAAAGCCAAAATGTCCACCAATCCGAAGTGAAGCACCATATGACTCCTCCTCCCTTTGTTTGATTTCTATAATTACCACGGGAATATTGGGGGGTCTTTGCAGGGATCCACTGAATCAGCGGGCAGATACCCCAGATTGCCCTTGTTGTAAGTATTCGTAATGATTGATTAAAATCCCATAATCAGTCTGGAGCCTCTTGGTCTCTTCCTTTGGTATCAAAATCATTCCACGGTCATGGAGGAGGTACAGGGTTCTCCAGCCAGGGGAATTCTGGATCTTACAGATTCCAAACCCAGATTGCACCATTTCCATAGTACCACACTGCCTCCCCAGGTGTGAGCCATAATCACTGAACTTGACTTCTCTACAGACGTTGATGCCTCACCCCATACTTGCCTGCTCCACTAAAGATGACAATAGTAGTTGTGACCTTCAGTAGAATCTACCTGCTTGGCTAAATGATTTGTTTAAATGACCGTGATTTCTTATTTGTCTTTTTGGAGTCCATCCAGCATTCACTGCCTAATCTTTACACAGTGCTTCCTAGCATCAGCCGTGATGGAGCTTGTTACTTGTTGCCTGAAGTTGTAGTGGTGTTGCGTTTGCTACAATTCAACACTAGTACAAGCTGATCACTGAAGTCTGGCATTGCACCTCTTTTCCTGCACCCTCCACTTGAGCTTTGCCCTACTTCTCCTCCCCATCTCTGCTGGTGCCAAGCCATCGCCTGAACCTCAGTGACTTTGGAATTGAAGTTACTTAACAGATTCTATGATCTTGTCCAGATGTTCTTTTCAGAGGAGTATTTTCTCAGCAACTTTTTACCATATTCACATCCTTTATTCCCTCTCCTGTGTTCTAGCTATAATCTTAACCACACAATAGGAGAAAACTTTCATCATTATCACAATTGCCTGCCTCAGAGAACAGATATTAGGAAAGCAAGCCACTGCATAATCAAATGCCCATCTCAAAGGAAACTGGCCCAGTAGGCTTATTTTATTGGCAAAGGGAGATAATTGGTTGCAGTCTCTAAGTTATCTTTTTTTTTTTTAAGAACTGAAAGGCCAAATAATCTGTTCTTGGTTAAAATTTTACATTAAAACTTGGCACTTCTTAGCTATGTCAGAGAAAATAAGCAATGAAGCATTCTTTTCATTTAAGGTAGTTATAGGATACCCACACTGCCTTTCTATTATTATATTTCTTTAGTCATGTAAAGGACAGACAAACTACTTCCAGAATTGTTAAATCTGGTTTACAGACTTGTGAAAGAAAGTGAAGGAAGTCCAGTCCTCTCCCATCTGTACCGTCAGCCTGCATCAAGATATCTAGGTCTCGGAAAGTGATCTAGGATAAAACATGGTCAGCAGCTCACCTCTAAAGTAGACCACTAGCGACAGCTGAATTTCTGAATTCTCTCAAAATCTCAGGCTTCCTGTTGTGACAAACAGATTCAGTCACCTTTCCTCTCTTATTCTGACTCTGCAAAGAAATATGAAATTTAGACAACCATTTAAGTAAGTTACTCCCAGACTTTTTGGAGTTGTGATACCTTCTTTTGGTTGATTTGATGGTCCTACTCAAGAGTACAGTAGGTAGGTAGAGTGCAGTGATGTCAAACTCAAATAGAAATGGGACCACTAACCTATAAGCAAGGATACCTTCTGGTGGCAAATTGACTTAGGAATCCATATACGCATTAACATTATCTATGTTCTATTGTATTTTGATTTATTTTGCTAACTATTTCCTAATTACATTTTAATCTGGTTCAGCCACACTTGGGAGTGTTGGGGAATAATGCTGCCTGTGTGGTGGAGTGTTTGACATCTCTGATGTAGTAGAAAGGGGACTGAACAAATTATATCAGTAATTTAAATGTCTAATATTAAATCATTCCTTTTAAACAACTATCTAAATGTATACTATTAAACTATTCCTTTAAAACAACTGTCTAAATGTGCAATATTAAACCATTCCTTTTAAACAACTAACAGTATAATATTGAATCATTCCTTCTAAATAACTATCTAAATGTATAATATTAAAATCATTCCTTTAAAAAACTATCTAATTGAGGTATTAATGTGACTCATACTCTGGTAGTATTGGTGTTTTTCTTTTTTAAGCCCAGTCAATTTTACTAAAAGATAGGTTTACTATGTCTAGAACATTCCCTAACAGTCTGATATCAGAATAAGAAATGAAGTTAGTCTAGGAACATCATGCTAGTTCTTAGTGATTATTATTTCCCTTTCTGAATATTTATACCACAGTCCTCAGCTAATATGTTTGAAATTTTGTCAGGAATCAAGGTCTACCTCATTGGCCTGGAGTTTGCAGACTTTGCCTACTTCTGTTATCTGAAAATGTAATATTTACCCTTCTCTGGTCCTATGGGTCATCTTTTGTTCTATGTGAGACAGTTCCCTCTAACTCATCAAGTTTCCACCATAACATTTATGGAGGGTGGTGAGGGCCAGAAAGAAGGTATGAAGGTATATGTTAACTTGATTTAGAGAATCTTAATGAGTTATGGATAGTATTTCTCAATTTCCTAATTCTCTGCAACAAATATTAGTGTATAAAGTGTAATTATCTTCATAATGGTCATTTAACAAATGCTAACCACAAACCCAGCAAAATGAAATGACCAAGTGTCTCACGAAAAGATCTTTCTTTTGATTTTGAATGAGTAATTAAACCAACTCCAACATGCCATGACACAATGATAAGAACAATGGCTTGGGCCTTAGGGAACCCAGGTTCAAATCCTATCTCTGCCACTTACTACCGTGGGCAATTCACTAAGCCTCAGTTTCATCTGTAAAGTGAGGGAGGTTGGATTAAAAGCCTTCTCAGTTCTCTTCCAGGTCTAAATCTATGATCTCCCTAGTACAATGACCAAGGTGCACTTTGTGCAGACCAAGATGATACTAGGTCCAATTTATATCATTTCTATTCTCTGACACCATAGATAGTTTTGCTTCCCCAATATGTCTTCTTATTCTCTCCCCCTACCTTCCCCCTTTGAATATCTGTCTTTGCCACTCATTCTTGAGCATAGTAATAAATGATGTCCATAATGTCTCTTATGGGCAGGATAGCCTGAACTTTGTGGTGAAAAGATGTTATAGAAATCCAGTACATAAGAGACATGGAGAATTGCATTGTTCTTCGAGAAGTCCTGAACCTAAATTTTGTTTGGAGTCATGAATCTGAGCATAAATTACCCCTCATTCTTCACAGTAGTGTCACAAGGTGAAGCTCTCAGAGACAATATTCATTTGCTAGAAGGTGACATCACATAGCTAGGCTTATGACAGTGTGGTAGGGCTGTCCTGGGGCATTGAATTAATTTGAAACTACTTGGAATTATGAGGTCAAATTCTTTCATATTGCTTGAGCGGGGACTCACAGTAGCTTAATACAGGTTGGGAAACTTCAGTCTGTGTGTGTGTGTGTGTGTGTGTGTGTGTGTGTGTGTCGCTTAGATATTTACTTAATCCACCTAGCCTTCATGTTGGTCCTGAGTTGACATTACCTTCCCTGTCTTCTTTCCCTACCTCACCCCTGATTCACCTCTTTATAAATACCCCTTCTTCCAATTCTCAACAATAAAGACATTAAAAAACACTTGAAAATGTTTACTGCTTCTTTTATTGTTCTTCAATGAAAAGCGTAGCATACAACCTCTCCACAGACCTAGTATTTGGAAGACTTTGACTGCCTATAGTACGCAGATTAAATTAACAAGATTTCATAAAGGAGAAGGAAGTGTAGCTACTCAGATTGGTATCTCCTCTGAAAACTACCAAAATCAGGAAACACTATTTTATTCTACTAGTATTAAATGCAGATAATAAAGATAAAAAAATTACCATAATCATAGCTCACATTTGTATATTGTTTGAAGGTTTGCAGAAAACTTTCTTCCCCATAGGTTGGTAGAATATGGAGGTCAGTATAGAGCTGGAGAAAGACAAGGGTGGGAAAAGTACACACTGAACACTATTGTCCAATTGGGCTTCCATAGAGTTTCTAGAGTGCATGTGGATTCCAGGTGGGAAGAATAAGGCCTCAAGTTAGTTATTTCATTTGTTTTTTTGGCTAGACAATGGGTTTCAGTGACTTGCCCAGGGTCACACAGCTAGTTAAGTGTTATATGTCTGAGACCAGATTTGAACTCAGATCCTCTGGAATCCAGGGCTGGTGCTCTATCCACTGCCCACCTAGCTGCCCCAAGTTAGTTATTCTGGGAAAGACCCCAGGAGTGAAGGCTCTGCTCTGATGGAGGATCTAGGAGATTACTCTACTACCCTGTGCATTTGTTCTAAGAAACCAAGGGCTTCAGCTATTGGAAAATAAGAAATACAGTGACAAGTAGAGCCAAAAAGCTGAGGACTTCGGGTAGGTAGGAAAAAGTATCCAGAGGCTCTTGTACAACTCGAGTTTTTGTTGGCTTGATTGTCCGGTCCCACTGGGTCAGAATGGCATTCCTGGCTCCATCCCACTTCCCTGGGCCAGTCAGACGGTACTGGTATGGGGTAAGTGGGCCAAAGAAAACCTTAAAAGCCAGTAGTGGGTCCACCAGGAACAGAGATAACAAGTTAGGCTTTGCATCGATGAAGGACAAGAGCTCATCTAGGTATACGACACGATCTGTTTGCAAAACCAGTTTGAAGTATAAACCAAACCTTTGTGAAGAAGGGGAAAAGGAAAAAAGAAAAGTCATCTTATTATGGGTTAAACTGAAATTCTCCTCCTAAAGCTCAGAATCATATCCATGATTTCCCTTTCATTCTAACATGTACTGATATGTCTCCTAGTCTCAAAATTCTACTCCTCTTCCTAAGTGTAAAGTGAACTCCTTTTAAGGACACTACTTTGGAACTACTCCCCTAGGGCTGGGCTATTCTAATTGGTAAGAGTCAAACTCTATCTAGCCAGCCCCAGAGCCAACCATGCTTCATCCTAGCTTTCTTCTCAATATCCTTTCTTCTACTGCCCTAATCTCCCAACCAAACCTCCAGGAATCATGCCTTGGAGGAGATATGCTGCTCATTTGTGAAACAGCTACCCTGGGACCATGCTGTCCAGATTGGTGATAATGCTCTATCTCTTATTGCCCCCAGACCAAACTATGATGTTAACTTCCTTGACATCCCTCCTACTGTCATGTATTCTGAAATTCTAGGTCCATGGGAGTTAGTATTGGTATAATGGATAAAGAACTGTCTTTAAATTCAGGATGGCCTTGGTTAAAAGTTCTGCCCCTGACTGGCTATGTGTTCCTGGGAAAAATCACTTAACCTTTCACTTCTCTATATAGCTCTCTAAAACCATAAGTTTCAGAGAAGGTGCTGACCTGCTTTGGTTGAGGGAATTTTCTAACCTGGAGTTGTTGATGCCAATTAAATCACAGGTAAAATCTCTATCCCTATTCTGAAGTCCTTAGTTCTTTGACACGGTAGATAGTGATGATCTAGTGTTCTCAGTGCCATGACATATTGAGTCCCTTCATTTCCTCTTTCTCCTGCAACTCCTAATAAGGTCACTCTAGAACTCTTCCAGAGTTCTTGATGTTCCATTTCCCTTCTGTTAGAATTTCTCTGCTTTTAGCCATTACTGGGTATGACTCTAATCATTGACCCTTTAGGGAAATGCTTTACTCTGAATACTGAAGGTTTTGAAATACTGAAAAGTTTTGAAAACTCTAGTTGTAAATTAAAAGAGTATATACAAATAATTAAGGGACATAGCCTACCCTGTGGATTTATTGGCTTTCCTTTTGTTAATGTCTTCTCTCATGTCCTCTGGTGATGGTAGTTTATTCAAGCCTACAAAATAAAATTAAAAGTTTCCTTTAACTCTGGGCAAGCCATATGAAGTATCACGACTTATAATTTTGATGTTGGCCACTGTTTTTCTTGCACCCAAGAGAATGACAAAACCAATGGTTCAGGTTCCCGGATATTCAAACTTTCCACAAAGGCAAGTTGTCATTAATAAGTCACAAGGCAATCCTTGTGACTTAGGCTTAGTATGTCTTTGTCTATATGATGTCAGAGTAAACAGCAGAAAACTAAAATGTAACTCAACTGACCAATTCTTTGGCCCTTATCATCAAATCTCAGAGTTAGGAAACACCTCATAATCCAGGCAATCCAAACTATACCTAAATAAAACTTTCTGCAGTATATCAGAATAATGGTTATCCTCCAATGAGAGGGAACGCATTACTTTCCAACGCAGCTCATTCCATTTGTGGATAGTTCTAATTGTTAGAATTTTTTTCCCCTGAAATCAAGCATAATATCTCCTTAAAACTTTCACCCATTGTTCTCAGTAAAGTCTTCTGAGGCCAAGTTAGGTAAGTATATTCTTGTAAGTGTAAATATTGTTACCAGGTATATGCCATGCCTCTTTTTGCTAGGCTAAACTTCCCCAGTGCTTTTACAAGAATCTTATATGGCAGGGTCTCAAGGTCCTACATAATTCTCATCATCCTTCTTCTGATGCTCTCCAGTTTATCCATGTTTTTAGTAAAATATGATATCCAGAAGTAACCAGAACACTTCAGATAGGCTCTGATCATGGCAGAGTACAATTAGACAATTATCACTCTTATTCTGGAAGTCATGCTTCCATTAATGCAATGTGGAATCACAGGATTTTTTTTGTTGCCTTATCACACTGTTGACCCAAATTAAGTCATAGTATGAAACCTGCCAGATCTTTATTTTTCTACCTAAATTGCTTCAAGTTACATTTTCTCCATCTTGGACTTGTGAAGTTGATTTTTCAACCCAATTGTAGGACTTTACATTTCACTTGATTAAAGGTTTACTTCCTAGATTTGCCCAGTGTTCTAGCCTGTCAAGATGTTTTTGGTTCACAATCCAGTGTGCTGTCAGTCCCTTCTCACTTTTCTATCATTGGCACATTTGAGTATACCATCCATGCCTTCACCCAAGTCTTTGAGAAAAATGATAGTGAGTATCAAGAGAGATCTCAGAGGGAACTACATGAGCAACCTCTTCTGCTCTGACATCAAAATATTAATCAGTAGTTACTAAGTCTCATATCAACATTATAATCAGTACTTAATAACTCACATCACTGTACCAAGCAGCCACTATGACTAAAAGATTTTCACTAAGATCACCATTTTGGTGTTTTAATTAGGCCCATTAATTTCACAAAAATGGCCAATGAACTTTTATGTAGATAGACAAAGCCAGTATTTTGTAGTCTCTACTTTCTTTGCATTTAGAGATATAATATAAATCATCATTACCCTGTAACTTAGTTAATACTAATATAAATCTAGCTTTTAGAGTTTCTGTCTGTTTTACATGGGAACTGGTGTTATCAAGATTTCTAGTCTCTAAAATCAATCAGCCATCATTTCAATTTAGAAAAAATTTGAAAACCACCCTGCCCTCCCACCATCTTTGCTTTTTTTTCACCCTTGCCCCTTCGCCCACTTATGTTTTCCAGCTACATACCCTTTAGGACCCGTGTGACCCATCTGGCTTGTACTTCTGATGTGCATGCCAAGGATCCCAAAGGCTTGATGAGGCCAATGACAGCCAGGGTTGGTTTTTCCAGATGTGCAGGGAATACATACTTATACAAAGAGGCCTGATTGTTTTCAACTTTCACTACAGACTCATCAAGGAAAGGAAAAGCAAAAGTATATCCTGTGGCAAAGACAATTATATCAATAGGCTCTTCTTCTGGAGTATTCTTAAACACCACAGAGTTTTCCTTCACTGTCTCCACCCCGGGTTTGATCAACACCTTCCCAGTAATTATGCATCCTGGAAGCTCATCATTCAGTACAGGTTCTCTTAGGAAAGTCCTAAATAAAAGCAGAGAAGGAAGAGGTTCATCAATGAATAATAAGCCTCATTTATCCTCTGACCTCCCTCTGATCCTGCCTTTGGTTCTGGAATTCTCCCTTTTCAATGAATATGAGGTGTCAGGCTTGAGAGAAGGAAGTTGTGTAGGGAAGGATTTATAATTTCTCATAATGGCTCCTCCTTATAGATTACTGCCTGAACAATCATTCAAAGTAAGGATACCTAGCTGTTGGACCTTCTGGTTTCTGCCTGTCCTTCATTATACCTGTTTTTTCCCCCAAATCTCAGTGATTCCTGATTAGGCCTATCTTCTGAGAATAACTGGAGATATTCCACAGCACTCTTCTTCTGAAGTTATAGGAGTTTATAATCCAACTTTGAGGGTTAGGGAAGATAAGATATATTCAGATATGATAAGGAAATGCAAAGTAATTTTAGGAAGGAGCGAGTGCTAAAAACTGGGATGCTCAGAAGAAGCTCATATAGGATATGGCACCTGAGAAGAGCCTTGAAAAAAGCTAAGGTTCTAAGAGTTATAGTACACGTATTCAAAGAATTGGGTTGACAAATTGTACAAAAGTGGGAGAGTGTATGGCGTTCACATTGGAAACCCAGTTTGGATAAAACGTGATAGGGTTCTAGTTTTATGTATCCAATTCTTGTTGGCTATTGCTACCTTCACGTCCACATCACCTCAAAATGTCTAAAACGTAACTCATCAACTTCCTACCCAAATCTACCCCACCTCTTAACTTCTGCATTTATATGGATGGCAACACCATCTCCTTAGTCACTTAGGCTTGTAACCTGGGAGTTATCTTTGGCTCTTCTGTCTACCTCCCCCATCCCTCCCATTCAAACAGCAATACCTCAGCAATATCTCTCACATTCATCCCCTTCTTTCCACTTACGTCACTACTACTCTGGTTCAACCTCTTCTTTATTCTTACTTATATTGATAGCTCCCATTTCTACAGGGCTTTAAAGTTTACAAAGCACTTCCTTACAACAACCTTATGAGGCATCTACTGAAGGATCATTATCTCCCTTTCACAGATGAGGAAACTGAGGAAGAGAGCGATTAAATAAATTGTCTAAGGTCACACAGCTAGGTAAATATCAGGGCCTGGAATCCAACCCAGGTTTCCTGACTCTCAGACCCATCTGTCTCTTCACTCAACCACAAATTGTCATAATCTTCTAAATAGTCTTCCAGATGCAGTCAACATAATTATCTTTCATATGGTTGTCCCTGGAATGCTGCTAGTATACCGTTTCAGTTGTATAACTCCTCAATATCCTTTAGTGGCTCTTATTGCCTACAGAATAAAGTAGAAGCTACTGATTCTGGCATTCATTGCTCTGCTTTTGGAGTCAGGATCAAGCCCTGATTCCTGTATTCATTATGTATGACCCTAGGCAATCAACCTTCCCTATTTGAGCCTCTATTTTTGAACTATAAAATGGAAATAATAATATTTTTTCTTCTTATTTTTCAGGGTTATTAGGTGGAAAGTGTTTTGTAAACCTTAACATGTAATGTAACTGTAAGTTATTATTACTACTATTCCTATCTAGTCAAAATGTACCTTTCTTTGCCTTCTATTGCCATCTTGTCTCCATGCCTTGGCTCATACATAGAAGACACTCCCTTTCTTTTCTTCATTATAATTCACTTTTTCCTTCAAAATTCAGCTCGGATCCTACCTTCTACATGAAGCCTTTTACAACTCCACAGATGGTAGTGGCCACTACTTTAAATTACCTTGTTTTATATATGTATACACACATGTGTGTATAGATGATATATGTATACATACATATATACTTATACACGTATGCGTGCATATATACATATACACACACAGACATATAATTGGGTTAGATTCTAGGCCTTGATACTTCCTAGCTGTGTGATCCTAGATAAGTTACTTAATGTGTGTGTGTGTATATGTGTATATATATATATATACACATACAAATCTCTCATATATGTATATACAGATATAGGTATACACATATGTATACATATAATTATGTTTGTGTATATAATACATTTGTTTATGTGTGTGTGTATATAAAACTCATTGTATATGCACCCTCACATATATACATATACATATGCCTTTCTATTCTTATTTATGTGCATGTTTTCTCCACTGATATAATGTAAGTCTTCTGAGTGTCGGGTCTGTTTCATTTTTGTCTTCACATCCCCAGAAGATTTATATCACCAGTGCCTGACAGATAGTAGATGTTTAATAAATGCCAGTTAATTTGTCTCTCCCTTTCTTCCTTTGCCAGCTATACTTACTGCCTTCTCCTCCGTCCTCACACTCTAGCAGATGAGCCCTAGTAGATGAAAGTTTTCTCTCCTTGAATTACTCATGGAATTTTGCTTAGCCTCTCCTATCTATTTATCTTACTCTGGTCCTCATATCTAATTGTGTATATGCCCTCTGTAAAACTTAGCATCTTGAGAGGCTAATGTCACAGCTATCTTTGTTTCCACAGTACCTTTTATATATTAAGTCCTTATTATATGTTTGCTGAACTGAATTGAGATTCTCTTGTTGAAGGTCTATCTTGTGGTCATTAAAGAGACTGCAAATGGATACTATGGGATGCAATTTCTTCTTACCAGTGGAACAAAAGCCCACAAACATATCCCTTGTTCAAAATGAATCTTGGATATGATTCTATACTTTTTCTTTCCAAATGTTTCAACAAAATAAACACATATCTTGTAGCAGCAGCAACTGTCCAACTTCACAAAAGTTACTGAGGAATCTGGGGGTCCCTCGTTTCTGAGAGCACAAAACAGAAGCCAAGAAATTACCTGTTTTCTGGAACCAAACCATAGTTTGCATGATCGAACCAGCTATTTGCCTTTTTGCCGATTAACCAGTTTACAACTGAAGTTGGGAGGGAATTTCTTAATACGCTTCTAAATCGAGAAGTGAACACCATGTCCCAAGGATAGCCATGGTCAAAAACCCGATTTATCACCCATGAACCTCTAGTAGTGCTGAGCAACACCTAGAAGCAAACAGAGAAATTGTTTAACATTTACTTCATGTAGTTGTTGCAAGGATCAAATCAATTAGTATTTGTAAAGATCTTTGCAAACCTTAAAGCCAGTTATTTAAATGCCAGTTACTATTATTATTATCATTTGAAGCACGTTGTAAACCTTATAGTGCCATGTAAAACATCAGTTGTAATTATCAAGTTAGCCAGTTCCCAAATCTTTTGTCATCCCCGCCCCTCCAGTTTGCTAAAATAACTTAAATAACTTTATGGTTTGTATTATGCTTTAAGGTTTGCAGAGGGTTTTACAGATATTATCTCATTTGATCTTCACATCTCTGTACATATTATGTCTACTTCATAAATAGGCAAATTGAGTCTCATAGGGGCCAAATAACAGATAGTCATATAACATTTTAACTTTTTGCAAAAACTTGATAAACATGAACTCATTTAATCCATACAGCAACTCAGTGAATGGGTGCTATTATTGTTCCTGTTTTGTAAATCAGAAAATTTAGGGCTGAGAGAGGTTAAAAGACTTGCTTGGGGTCATGAAACTAGTAATTCTCAGAAGCAGGATTTGAATCTTGGTTATTGTGACTCCAAGTTCTTGGTGAATGAAAAATTTTGGGTGTCATTAACAAAAATAGGGATGTCACGATGAGAACCATTTCTTTTCTTTCTTTCTTTCTTTCTTTCTTTCTTTCTTTCTTTCTTTCTTTCTTTCTTTCTTTCTTTCTTTCTTTCTTTCTTTCTTTCTCCTTCCTCCCTTCCTTCCTCCTTCCTTCCTTCCTTCCTTCCTTCCTTCCTTCATTCCCTCCCTCCCTCCTTCTTTCCCTTCCTTCCCTCCCTCCCTCCCTTCCTCCCTCCCTCCCTCCCTCCCTCCCTTCCTTCCTTCCTTCCTTCCTTCCTTCCTTCCTTCTTCCTTCCTTCCTTCCTTCCTTCTCTTCCCTTCCTTCCCTTCCTTCCTTCCTTCCTTCCTTCCTTCATTCCCTCCCTCCCTCCTTCTTTCCCTTCCTTCCCTCCCTCCCTTCCTTCCTCCCTTCCTTCCTTCCTTCCTTCCTTCCTTCCTTCATTCCCTCCCTCCCTCCTTCTTCCCTTCCTTCCCTCCCTCCCTCCCTTCCTCCCTCCCTCCCTCCCTTCCTCCCTTCCTTCCTTCCTTCCTTCCTTCCTTCCTTCCTTCCTTCCTTCCTTCCTTCCCTCCATCCTTCCTTTGTTCCTTCCTTCCTTCCTTCGTTCGTTCGTTCGTTTCGTTCCTTCCTTCCTTCCTTCCTTCCTTCCTTTTCCTTCCTCCCCCTCCTTGCCTCCCTCCCTCCTTCCTTCCTCCCTCCCTTCCTTCCTCTCCCCTTCCTTCCTCCCTCCCTCCTTTCCTCCTCCCTCCTTCCTTCCTTCCTCCCTTCCTCCCTTCCTCCACCCTCCCTCCCTTCCTTCCTTTCCTTCCTTCCTTCCTTCCTTCCTTCCTTCCCTCCCACCCTCCTTGCCTCCCTCCCTCCCTTCCTCCCACCCTCCCTTCCTTTCTTCCTTCCTTCCTTCCTTCCTCCCTCCCTCCTTTCCTCCCTCCCTCCCTTCCTTCCTTCCTCCCTTCCTCCCTTCCTCCCACCCTCCCTCCCTTCCTTCCTTCCTTCCTTCTTCCTTCCTTCCTTCCTTCCCTCCCACCCTCCTTGCCTCCCTCCCTCCCTTCCTCCCACCCTCCCTTCCTCCCACCCTCCCTTCCTTTCTTCCTTCCTTCCTTCCTTCCTTCCTTCCTTCCTTCCTTCCTTCCTTCCTTCCTTCCTTCCTTCCTTCCTTCCTTCCTTCCTTCCTTTCTACTTTCCTTCCTTCCTTTCTAGAGAAATAATAAATTTAGAATTTGCAGTGAAGTTGACCAATAATGAAGAGGAGCTACATTTTTAAAGGCCATTCAGCACATCAGCACATTTTACATGACATTTTCATTACAACTAGTAACCTGAAGGTCCATACCTTTTTAGCCACATGACTGGCCTCCACAGCAATGTCTGTGCCAGAGTTGCCCATGCCAATCACAAGGACTCTCTTATCCTTGAACAGATCAGGATGCTTGTACTCCCGGCTGTGAAAGTACTGACCTTTAAAGGTGTTGATACCTGCAAGGGAAAACCAAAGAGAGGAAATGAGGGATTTGACAAGCTCTGTGAATAAAACCTATCCTTCAGGCAGTTACATTGGTTTGGGGTGATATTATGCCTCACTTAAAAGATAATAGTATTTGAAGGTCCACCATATAGAAGAAGGATTATATCCGGTCTGTTTGGTCTGGGTGAGGATGAGGACTACTGACTAGAAGTTGTAAAGAGGAAACTTGATCTTGTAAAACTTCCTAACAATTAGAGCTGTCCCAAAGGTGAATTAACTACCTCTGGAAATGGTGGAGATTCTTGCTTGCGAATGCTTTGGGCTAGATGGCCACTGGGGTCTCTCTCAACTCTGAAATTCTATGATACTATGAAATAATTAGCAACATAAAATTATTCACTCATGAGCATACTTGTTCATTAAGGCCATATAGTGTAGTGATAAAATATAATGTTTGTAGTCAGACTTAGGTTTGAATCTGGGCTCAGATACTATTTGTATGATCCTGGTCAAGCCACGTAATATTTTTGGACTCGGTCTCCTCATCTGTGTAATAATGATCGTAATATTTGCACCATTGTCTCTTTCACAGAGTTGTATAAAAAAGTGCTTTCTGGCCTTAAATCGCTACATAGGATTAAGAGCTAGCAGGAGCCTTAGTTCATCTAGTCCATATCCATCATGTAGTCCATTTTTCAGATGAGGAAACCATATTCTAGAAGTCTTGTCCAAGGTCATAAAGGTAATAAATAGAAGAGAAATGAAAAACAGATCTTTTCTCCCCAAATCCATTGTTCTTTCTTACTTATGATTAGTAAAGCATTATTTGTTGTTGTTCAGTTGTTTCAGTTGTGTCTGACTTTTTGTGATCCCATTTAGGGTTTTCTCTGCAAAGGAACTGGAGTGGTTTGCCATTTCCTTCTCCAGCTCATTTTATAAATGAGGAAACTGAGGCAAACAGGGTTAAGTGCAGGGTCACACAGCTAGTGCCTGAGGTCAGATTTGGAGTCAAGAAGATGGCATTACCTAATATCCTTAAGCATTGTTCACCACCTCATTAACAATCTGACTAAAAGACTATGAGGCAGAGAAATGAAGGTTCTTATTTTGTGGTGTCCTCCACAAAGTCCTCCTCTGATGTCTCATCATAACAAAGAGGTGACTGTGGGATCTTAAAGGGCATGGCAGTGGAATGTGAGCTTTAGGAGATCCTGCCAGGCTCAAAGCATGTTTGTTGGTGATGAACTCTCACCTGAGGAACACCCAAGGTAAGTTCAGAGAAACTCATCACTAAAAGATTGATCTCCAAATATTAGGAAAACTACCTGCTCAGCTATTTTTGGCAGTATTACATTGATCAGCTGACACCTTATTTATTACTTTCAAGCTGTTTGGATGGTAGAGCTACAATGGATTTTTCTATCTCTGTGTTCAAGGCAGAAAAATAGATCACAGTAAAGAGGACCCAATGAGTCATACGACTGCATCGAAGAAGTGATTTTGTGTCAGTAATAGAGTATTTCTTCTATTCAAGACTGACTTAACCCATATAAATAGATACTACCACCACCGATCCTTAGGTCTGGTAGTGTTTAGAATGAAGAAGATATAATGTTGCTTCCAATCTTTAGGAAGTATTAAGGAGCAGGCTCGAGTGTTTCTAGCCAGAAGGAAGATAATGGTATATGCCTTGAGTAGACTGAGGTAGTGAGTGACTCTTAAAGAAGTATAGTTGGGAGAACTCTCTCTTTGAGCCCTCCCTGGTAGGCAGGTGGCAGTTCTCTATTTCCTCATTTTGGAGAAGCCATCATGATTGGATCTTTCCTTCAAAAATGATAGCTAATATTCATGAAGCACCATTTATGCACCAGTCGCCATGGTAGCTGCTGCTGCTGCTGTTCAGTTATGTCTGACTCTTTGTATTCATTTGAGTTCTTCTTGGCAAAGATGCTGGAGTGGTATGCTATTTCCTTCTTCAGCTCCTTTTACAGATGAGGAAACAGGGTTAAATGACTTGCCCACGGTCATGCAGCTAGTAGGTATCTGAGGCTGGATTAGAATTCAGGTCTTCCTGACTCCAGAGCTGGCATTCTATCCACTGCACCGCCTGGCTGCTTAGCTGCCATGCTAAACTATTTGCAAATATCTCATTTGATCTCACAACAATCCTGGGGGTGGGGTAAAGGGCTTATATTATCCCCATTTTACAGATGAGGAAACTGAAGCAAAGAAGGATTAAGTGACTTGCTCAGAGTCACCCAGCTACTATCTTTCTGACTCCAATACCTGCATTTAGGATCAGCTAGGTAGCTGTTCCTTCTGTCCCCCTCTTTTGCATTCTTTGTTATTCTCTCCTCTCTTAACCTGGAGCTGGGATTGTATTTGACTTCATGTCAGGATAAGCCAACTGAGCCAAATTCCATCTTATTTGCAGGAATGCTGTATGTCTGTGTCTTTAAACTTACTATATAATCGACTCATGAAAGGACATTGGTGAGGTCTGTTGTTGGCAGAAAGGCTAAAGAAAGACCAGCAATTTTGCTGCTGGTAGGTAGGTACAATAAAGGCAGGAATTTATAATAAAGGAACTAAGACAGAAGTCATTACATCTACTTTTGTTCTTGAACCTGGGTTCATTTGCAGGGCAACCAGGAGCTTTTAGAGGAAGGGAGACTCATGGAAACTCATTATTCGATCCCTACATGGATACTCTGTGGATGTGTTGTGTAAAAGTGGCTTGAGGTGATGCTGACTGAGAATTTGACTGGAGTTAAAATGAATTTTCTCCCCCCCCAATAGTATATTATTTTTTCCACTTACATGTAAAGATAGTTTTCAACATTCAATTTTGTAAAATTTTGAGTTCCAATTTTTTCATTTTTCCCTCCTTTGTCCCCTCTGCAAGATGGGATACAATCTGATATAGACTATATATGTACAATCATATTAAACATATTTCCACGTTAGTCATGTTGTGAAGAAAGAATCAGAACAAAAGGGAAAAACCATGAGAAAGAAAAAAGTGAAAGATAGTATGCTTTGATCTACATTCAGGCTCCATTGTTCTTTCTCAGGATATGGATAGCATTTTCCATCATAAGCCCTCTGCAATTGTCTTAAAACACTGTGTTGCTGAGAAGAGCTGTCTATTAATGTTGATCATTACACAATGTTGCCGTTACTGTGTACAATGTTTTTCTGCTCATTTCACTCAGCATCAGTTCATGTAAGTCCAGGTTTTCCTGAAATCAGCCTGCTCATCATTTCTTATAGCACAATAGTATTCCATTACATTCATATACCACAACTTGTTCAGTCATTTTCCAGTTGATGGGCACCCCCTTAATTTCTATTTCTTTGCTACCACAAAAACAGCTGCTACAAATATTTTTGTACATGTGAGTTCTTTTCCTTTTTTTTTTTTAATAATCTCTTTGGGATATAAACTTAGCAGTGGAATTGTAGAATCAAAGGGTATGCACAGTTTTATAGCCTTTTCTGCGTAGTTCCAAATTGCTCTCTAGAATGGCTGGATCAATTCACAATTCCACCAGCAATGCATTAGTGCTCCAATTTTCCCACATGTTCTCCAACATTTATCATTGTCCTGTTTCGTCATTTTGGCCAATCTGATAAGTGTGATGTGGTACCTCAGAGTTGTTTTGATTTGCATTTCTCTAATCAATAGTGATTTAGAGCATTTTTTTCATATGCTATACAGATAGCTTTAATTTCTTCTTCTGAAAACTGCCTGTTTATATCTTTTCACCATTTATCAATTGTGTAATGACTTGTAATCTTATAAATTTGACCCAGTTCTCTATATATTTAGAAATGAGGCTTTTATCAGAGACACTGGCTTTAAAAATTATTTCCCAGCTTTCTGCTTCCCTTCTAATCTTGATTGCATTGACTTTGTGCAAAACCTTTTTAATTTAATGTAATCAGAATGATCAATTTTGCATTTCATGATGTTCTTTCTCATTTGGTCATAAATTCTTCTCTTCTTCATAGATCTGACAGGTAAACTATTCCTTGCCCTCCTAATTTGTTTATGGTATCACCCTTCATATGTGAATCACGTACCCATTTTGACTAAGAGGAATTTTCTAACACCAAATGAAATAGTTTATTGGGGTCAAGGATTTTGGGTGGCAGCTGGAGATATCAGAGAAAAGGAAAAACAAAAACCCTTATTCCTCAGTTAAAGGTTTCTGATATATTTTTTTTTACTGACTTTTGGGCTAGGTAACATTATCATGCCTTTAGGCTCTGAGGGTTAAAAGGATTTTAGCCCTCTGAGGCACCCCAGTTGAGACAGTAGTATAGGTAAGTGGAAGAGCTGACGACCAGTAGATGGCAGCAGAGAGCAGCTCAGGGACTGCAGTAGTCAGAAAGTGACTACACAATGTTGGGTGGAGGGCAGGGACATATAGTGAACAACAGACGGGTCAGTAGAGATGATGGGGTTCAGTGCTCAGCAGTGAGTGGAGCTGCAAGTTCGGCAGACAAGTGGTGTCCCACAAACAGTAGCAGTGCGACACGATAGCATCACCAGAGGATAGTAACAATTCTATAGTATTAGAGGACATTTACACACTTAGTGTGACCTCGGGCAAGTCACTTCCTCATCTATAAAATGAGCTGGAGAAGGAAATGGCAAACCACTCCAATATCTTTGCCGAGAAAATCCCAAGTGGGGCCATGGAGAATTGGAGAAGACTGAATAATGACTGAGCAACAACAAGAGTATTGAAGTGCTGAGTTGCTCCAGTTGCATGAGTACCCTGGCATCCCCTATGTGAGTACCCTACATCCATGTGCCCAGGGCATATTTGTTTTCCGTGTTTCTCTATTCATACATATTCTTTGACCATATGGGTTTCTTTACCTATGTGTCTGTCCACATATTTCCTGATCATACGTGTTCTTTGTATGTATGCATTCCCTCTGTTCATTGTTGGTATCCCTTTGGGTGTGAGGGGTTGTTGGGACGTTTTGTCATCTCTTA